TCAATCTCTCCAGTCTCTCTCTCTCTCTCTCTCACGGGCTTACAGTGTCATGAAACTAGCCCGAAAATAATGATATGATGCATCAATAAATAACAACAGAGACTGAGATATGATATGCATATGAATGCGTATGACTGAGTATGTAATGCAATGAAAGAAAATAACCCAACAGTAGAAATGACCTCAATGGGTCCCAACAGAATAAGCATGTAGTCTAGACATGGTTTCTAACATGAATCACAACTCGATAACTCTAGTACGTAGAGATTTCATGATTTCAGATAAGTTCAAGTAACTACACAGTACCATAGGAATAACAGAGTCACAGCTCATATGGTGCACGCCCACACGCCCGTCACCTAGCATGTGCGTAACCTTAATACCAAACACATAACACGTATATTCAGGGTTCATACCCTCAGCTCCAAGATTAGAAGAGTTACTTACCTCGAACAAGCCAATACCAATGTCAAGGAAGCCAAGCAATACTCCAAAGATGCCATCACGTGCGTAGCAACCTCCGAACAGCTCAAAACTAGCCAAAAGCAACTCAAATACATCAAATAAAGCCCAAGGAAACAATTCCAAATGATAAAGATCGAATCCTTAATCAAAACCCAAAATCGGCCAAAAATCACACTCGGGCCCGCACCTCGTAACCTAACAAAACTCACAAAATCCGATAACATATTCAATTACAAGTCCAACCATACTAGTTTCACTCAAATCCGACTCCAATTCGATGTTCAAAACTCAAAAATTAATATTATGAAACTTTAGGCCAAAACCCCCAATTTCCTCTATAAAATTTTCAATCCAATTACTAAAAACGAAGGTAGATTTGTGAAATATAACCAAAACCGAGTAGAGAACATTTACCCCAATTCATATGGTGAAATTTTCTTCAAGAATCGCCTCAATCCGAGCTCCATAGCTCCAAAAATGCAAAAACATGTCTGAAACCTTCGAAATAGAGTACTATATACACTGCTTAGACGTCCTCTTTTGCGAACGCGGGAAGACCATCGCGTTCGCGATGAACAAAATATCAGTCACCTAAAAATACTCTACACGTTCGCGGCACAAGACTCGCGAACGCGATACACGTCGAGGACAGAACTACGCGAACACGGTTCCAACTACGTGAACACGATGAAGAAAGGCCTCCAGCTCCAGCTCCCAGCTCAACCCTACGTGAACGCGATCCCTCATACGCGAACGCGAAGAAGACTTGCCCAACTCTACGCGAACGCAGACCAATATTCGCAAACGCGATGAAGAAATGCCACTGCCATCAAAATATACTACGCGTTCGCGATACATGCCAAGCGAACGCGATGAAGGGCTGAGACACCAGAAACCAGCAGAACACAATAGTGAAAACATGAAAGAAAATGATCTGAAATCAATCCGAAACATGCCCAAGCCCCTCGGGACCCCGTCCTAACACACCAACAACTCCCATAACATAACACGGACCTACTCGAGGCCTCAAAACACACATAACAATATCGAAACGACGAATCACACCTCAACTCGAAATCAATGAACTTTGAAACTTTAAACTTCCACAACTGATGCCGAAACCTATCAAATCACATTCGATTGACCTCAAATTTTGCACATAAGTCACATTCGACATTACGAACCTGCTCCAACTTCTAAAATCGGAATCCGACCCCGATATCAAAAAGTCCACTCCTGGTCAAACTTTTCAAAATTTCAACTTTCGCCATTTCGAGCCAAATTCAACCACGGACCTCCAAATCACAATCCGGATGCGCTCCTAAGACCAAAATTACCCAACGGAGCTAACGGAACCATCAAAATTCCAATCCGAGGTCAAATACTTAAAAGTCAAACTTGATCAACTCTTTCAAATTTAAAGCTCCTAGTTGAGAATCATTCTTCCAAATCAGTCCCGAATAACCTAAAAACCAAAACCGATGATTCACGCAAGTCAAAATATAATATACGGAGCTACTTATGCCCGTAAACTACCGAGCGAAGTGCAGATGCTCAAAACGACTGATCGGGTCGTTACATTTGATTTCTACCTATTTGTTATGGCAAAGCATTGGAGTAGTTTCCCGCAGACTTAATAGTAGTTATAGCCATTTAGTAGATTGATAACCTGCATTTTTACTTGAATGAAAGGCAAAATTGAAAACTCATGATCTTGGAGTGAATGCTATCGCTTCTCCTTCAGTTTAGGTGTATTAATTTCACTTTGTATGTTGGGTTACAAATCTTTCTCGAATGTTTATGTCTTTATAGATTCCCCAATGATTTAGATTCTTCCTTTGGCCCTTTAGGCCTTTATAATGTTATACATCAGTTTGTTATTGGTGAAAGTTTTTATTTGGAGTTGTTTTGGGAATTTACTTACTGTGATGGTATAAGGAAAGCCCGAAAGTACTTTGATGAGATACTATGATCCAGGATATCGTAAGTTATTTGTGTAGTATAGTTGGAGAGTTTTGTTTAAAATAATAATGTAAAGAATCTGTAAAGTTTCTTCAAGTAATGTCTTCCTCTATATATTTCAGAAATGGCTTGCTTTATTTATTGACGGACGTGATTTCTTCTACTTAGTTACAAAGTTTACCCAATATCATCAATTGCAAGTTCCATGTGTTACTTTCCTAGCGACTGAATTATATTCTTGACAAGGAAAGAACTTGATTTTACTGGAATTAAATATGGTACAATCATAAGTTGAAGATTTATTTTATCCAAACTCCTAATAGTTGCTCTTCAAAAATAACACATGTGTGTCTTTTTATTCCTTCGTTAACCTTTTTAAGTTTGAATTGAGAATATTTGACTGTATGTTGTGAAATTCAGTGCTGCCTCTTGCTCCTTTCCTCCTCTCCTCCTCTCCTCTCCTTGGTTGTTAGTTTTTTCAGAATCAAAATTTTTCTGACAATTGCTTTTGCTCTCCTCTGGGTTTATGTGCTCTAAGTCATCTGTATAAAGAAAGCCTAATTTCATATATTGATATTTTTGCTCTTAATACTCTTGGCATTTTTCTGTTTCTTGCACAATGTACATTCTTTGAGTTATGGTTTAGCTACAGTTATGGTTTAACTAAGTGTGTGTATATATATAAATAGAGATGTGTTGGCACCTCTCTTTAGCCACCAATAGTATTACTTACATGCAAGTGCATCATAAATTATGGAAGTTTTGTGCTTGATAATACACATTAAAAATCAAAAAAAGAGGTCTAAATATTGGAGAAAGAACAAGCAACCTTGAGAAACCATCAAAGCCTAGTGATAGTGTTATGACCAATGAATATACGTACAAAAAATAAAATTGGCCAAAGAGTGTCACCTCCGGCATCACCAACAAGAAGTTTTAGAGATATGCGACGATCCAAACTTTTGTATATTTTACTTGTTATTATATAATTCAAACATACATATATACATATATATATATATATACACACACAATAAAAATTCATAATTTTTCATATATCTTACTCTATTGGTGTTTAATATTTTTAGTTATCCAGATTATCTAAAAAATATACATGGAATAAAGTATGATTTACTGATATTTTTCATAACCGCGCGAAGCGCGAATAGTTTCACTAGTTAAAGAAATATTTGTTGGTCAAAGAAAAAATGTACTATTAAAATATAAAGTATTCACTATGAAAAGTGAGTATCACATAAAGAAAAATCAAAAGTAGAATCATAGTTTTGAAGTTAAGAGATAAAAACTAAATAAATTTAATAATTAAAAAAAGAGTTATGGGCTTCCTGCTTCCATGTCATCTCCATATATTACAGGTTTATGTCTGTAATGGAGAGGGGGGAAATGCAGTTCTTAGGAAAATGAATCTTTGAGCCCTCATGAATTCTGTGCAGTTGCTTAGCAAGTCGAGTCACTATAATAACAAATAGGAGTATAAAGATGTGGATTTGTGAAAATGGGAGTTATATTTAGGGGTCGTTTGGATTGTGAGTTATACCAAGATTATATATAATGTAACTATACTAGTAATCTTTGTTATCCATTGTAACCAAAGTTTTGTTGTCTTTAAAAACTTGAAAAAATATGTCTTACACTAATTATGCCAAAAGAAAATGTTATAAGGAGGTTAGAATGATTAGATACACATTGTGAAAGTGCCATGCATTGGACACTACTTGACTTGGTTGATCATCAGATGTGCAAAAAGCCATACCCAATAGAAGTGAAAAAAATGCGATAAATACAATAAAGTAAACAAAATTTTACGAAGGCAATTAAAGTAGATTATAGATACTGTAGTACCATTCTAAGGTGAATTCTTCTTATGTGGTTAGTTATTACTGTGGTGACAAAATGGTTAAAAGAAAACAGCTATTCATTCATATTATTCATTAAAAAATGAGTTGGATAATAAACTTTTTAAAAACTAGTCAAATATGGATAAGAACCATATTATACCCTTAGAAAATGGATAACAAAAGGATAACAAATGAGTTTAACTTTTACATTTGTAAAGCCTCAAATTGGGGGTTACTCAAGTTTGGGAGACTAGAAATTAAGCCATGGATATCCGTCGGTTAACCCATTTTTTATCCGTATCAAATATGAATCGGTCAGATAATTTATCCGTTTTTGCATTACTTATTTTCAACTCGTTCATATCCGATCCGACCCGTCCGTTTGTAATTAGGGGCAAAAAATTATAGTAAGAGATTTTTGGGTCCTTTATTCAAGAATCAAGATATCTTTTTGCCTCCTTTTGTTTTTTGTTATCCATGAAATAGTCGAGAAGCGTATAAACTATGGATTCTATATACAAACTGATTCTATATATCATAAGTAATTTTTTAAATTAAAAACTATGGATATTACATGTATAATGCAATTCAATCTCACTATAGATTATAAAAATAAAACAAATTCATCTCTTTTTATATAGAATTTATAACCTATATTATATAGAAAAAGGATTGGAGAGTAGATTTGTAGAAAGAAAAAAAGAACAAACATATAAAAAAGGAAGGAATAAAAAAGCAGGTAGCAGGTGCAAAATCCAAAGAAGTAGCCAAACTCCACTGTGAAAGATTGGCCATAGAAGAGGAGAAGAAATGTGAAGAATAAAGAGGCCAAAATGGCAAACCCTAGAAGGATTTCATTTTCCCCTTCCGGTAACCACCACCAACTTCCGATCTCCGCCGCCGGATTTCAGAATCCGACATCAACTCGAATGTCAAGTTTGATATCCTTCCTGAAGAAACCCCATGCTTTCCCCTTCCTGCTTTCCCTCTTCCTTTTCCTCACTTGGGTTTCCCTCAGATTCCAACGTCCCTCAGATTCAAGTCATCAGAGGGAAGAATGGCATCCTGCAAAGATTCATTCTTCTGGTTCAGATCAAATGGCTAATTTTGTGAGGTTCCCAGCTTCCTCTTCTTCTATTGCTAAAGATAAACGTGGCTGGTTGCTCAACCCCATTTCCCTTGCCCTTGATTCTGCCCTTTCAGGTCTCCTCTTTCTCTCTCTTTCTTATAATTATGTTAGTATATGGAATATGATAGTAATAGAAGATGCCATAATAGACTGACTATGCGTGTTGGTGTTGCTGAAGATAGGCTTTAAAAATGAGCTGTATGTGTGTTCATACTCCAATGTATTTAAATGGGTCGTTATGTTTTTGGTGGATTAGCATCTTGAGGTCTTTTTATGCGCATAAAGATACTGTCTTGGTAGCAACCACCAAATAAATAGAACATGGGTTAGTTAGCTCATTACTGCCTACACTCCCCCTGCAACTGCTTTCTCATTAGCTCCATTAAGGTTCGTATTCTCATCCTGTTCGAATAAAGATTGTTAAGCCAAGAAGGAAAATTGTTATCATAACTTGAATACAAGGACCTAGAGGACCAAGGAAAGTTTAGTTTTTTTACTAGTAATGTGTAGCTTCTTTTGTGAGCGAATGGATATTTAGGATTTATATGACCTGCCATGACTACTTTGGCCTTAAAAGCTTAGTTCATTGAATGATATGTATAAATAATAGAGAATGGTAGAAGATTACGAAAATGTGCAAGTCTAGAATTGACATTATTGCCAAAGATCAGAAGGCTAATCTTGTGAGGTTCGAGCTTCCTCTTCTGTTATTTCCAAAGATAAGTGGGGGTCATTATGCATAAAAGACCTACTCAGGGAACTCAGGGAAGAACAGAACATAATAGAAGCAAAGAATGTATGCAGATGATACCAACGAGTTAGGATTAAGCTCTACTCGTTTTTGGTATACTTATATTAGGCTCAACATTTGCGATTATCTTTTTGGTTTGGTTAGAAATTTGTGCTTCAGTTTATGGAAACCCCTAATTGTCTCGGAAGAGAAATTATTGAGTATACATTCAAATATTGGAATAGAACTCCAACTGGTTTGGGGTTAATGCATCGCAGTTATTGTTGTTGTATTGTTTTTCTTTTTCTTGAGAATGTGGAAGTTCAGAATTAGAGTACAGGGAAATATGGATGGTATTTCTTTTCCCATTTCCCTGATATAATGTATTTCTTAATTGCAAGATAAATTTAAATCATTCTATATTGTCATCTTCTGTTTTAAGTTTGCCTAGAAAGATTCCACCATTGATAAAAGGAGGTCATTCTCGCTGCAGGTGGGGCAGCAGTCTGTACTTCAGTTCATTTGGGCGAGATCAAATCTGGTGGTGTTAGAGGCAACCACAGGCACCACACATGTAATGAGACATTTGTTATTTGGGGAGCTAAGACAGTATTCCGGGTATGTGTCTTCCTCCCTGTAGTACTAAAACTGAAAGCTTTTACATCTCTACCTATCTTAATCATTATTAAGTTGCTTTAGATCCACCTTCTACTATGTTTATCTGTAGGGAAACATATTGTTCTTTGAACGTAATCAAGATGAAAAAGTTTGAAATTTTGGTGTTACATAAATCAGTTTGATTCTTTTGTAGTCCTTGAGACATGTAATGTATTTTCTTGCATTAAGTTGGCTTTAGATGACACAGTGTATTTAATTAGGAAGTGAATTTAGTAGAAAAATGTCAATACAAGATGTACCGGCTCTACAGGTATCTTATGTTTTAGTTGCTGTTACTTGTCAAGTGTATTCTGTAGTTGTGTCATACTTCCCAGAAAAACTAACATTCTCAGTCCTTGAACCTTTTTTGTGTGCTGAAGTTACAAGCGTAGAAGTATCATCCTGATGGAGTATTCTCGAAGTCTTTCCTTAAGCCTTAATCATGCTTTCTCTCCTAGTTCTTCAAAATCTTCAAAGTATCTATCAAAACTCTCCCCAAATTTACTTGTTCCAAAGTATATATGTTCCCAGATATATCATTTCGTCTTTCTAATTACAATTTTCAGTACCGAAGATATATCTTGAAGACCACGCGGTGTGGTGATTGGTTTTTCGTCTCTGCTCCTGTCCTTTTTCTATTTCCCTCATCCAGTTTGTTGTAGTTCTTTACATTTCTTATCATTGCAATACTCTCTCTCTACTCACCATTGAAGCTGTCATTCTGCTTGTCCTTTGAACGGGTTCTATATGATTGAATTTCTGCAGTTAGCTCCTTTAAAACTCCCAAATCATGATATGCTGATTATTCATAATTTCTAAATTGCATGAAAGGGAAATGAAGATGAAACAACCAATTATAGCTATTAAATTATCTCTTTAATTACATTTCCCATAGATTATCTTTGTGAATGAGTAATCATGTTTTCCTTTCCTTTCTTTTGGGTCAGGGTTGCAAATTTGTTATATATACTAAGTCCTTGCTCTTGATTCACTAACTTTTTACAGCTGGAAAACGATGCGGTCAAAAATGGCTACGCTGAAGTAATAATTGGTGCAGATGAAGTTGCTGTTGCAGTCAGCCCCCACGGAACTGCTCATGCTCTAGTAAATGTTGATCCAGTAAAGAGTACATACTTCATGGGGTGCCAGGATAGTATAATCAACTACAATGGCTCAACGACTGACTTTAATGTATGGAAAGATCTATAGGTTTTCAATGTTATATTTTCATGTTCACTCCAGTAAGGTAGCTGAAGTCTTGCCAGGTTATAGGTCACTTCAATGTTATAGGTTCTTTTCTTGCCAGGTTTTCAAGTTTAGGGTTTTAAAGGGTGTGAATTAGTTTAGCTAATGTAGATTCTGGGAACTATGTGCACAACGCATAGCTGCTGCTCATTGGCTTTTTTCCTTAACAAGGTTTGTGCATACACAGTTTATGATAAAAAGTACAAGGCCCTCCTCGGAAATCAGCGTCTCTATCTTAGAAATAGTAAGGGAAGTAGTGATGAAACTAATCCGTCCACCTGCTGGAAGCTATACTCGGTACCTGAGTTTTTGGATACCATCCGCCAATTTGAATGTTAAGAGATGGAGTTATTATTACTTTAGGTGTGTTAAAGACCTCAAGATGAACTACTTTAACAGACCTAAAGTAGTAATGGCTTGATCTCTGAACATTTGAATCATCTTGATCGCTGATTCACAAAGAAGACCTTGTACTTTTCATCAGAAACTGTAGATCTTGATAAGGTAAGCACTTTTTAAATAGGGTAAGCTCCAATATATCTCTACAGTATGCAGCTTGCCGGTCAAACTGCCATACATATGGAAGCACTTTTTTAACTTTTGGAATTTAGCAAATGTTCATCTTCCAAGATTTTGCTCGTTATAGTAGTTGCAATTTTTGCAGTTGCCTACTCATTGAAAGTCGTTCTCCCTTTTTCTGGTCAAACCCTTAGTTATCTACTCAGTAGTTCCTAATGTTTGAATAATTTTTACTCAAATTAAATTCGTTCGTTATATGCTTTTTAGGGTTGATGAAAATGAAGCGCTACCAAACTTGTTTAATATAACGGAAATAAGTAATTGCAGAAGGATGATCTTGCAGAAGGGATTAAAGAGAAGAAAAATTATTCAAAAAGGGTGAAATTAGTATGTACCTTTTAAGAAAACTATTTTCTTGATGAGATTAATGTTTGATGTTAAGTTTCTTTCAAATGAATGGAAATAAATTTATACTTTGAACATCATTCCTCAAAAGGGAAGAAGGCCAATTTCCAGCAATTCAAAGCAAAGGAAGCAACTGCAAGTCAATGATAGTGGATTGTAATATTTGAAGACCATATATCCTGCAAACCAATTCAATATGCTGGCCATTTATGGAGTCAAGCAAGATGTACTAGTAGGGAAACTCCATTTACAAAAAACAAAAAAAAAGGAAAAGAAAAGCTCCACCGCCATCTCATGCAGAGACAAGAACACTAGATAATTTCTTTTTTGCCGAAGTTTTGATGGACATAATTACTTGTGCAAGTAAGAGGTAAAAGACACTCAATGGAATAGTCGAGGTGCGTGCAAACTAACTCAACCACCATTTTTTATGAACCAAAAAGAAACGGAAAAAGCAAAGGCAGTCAGCATCTTTCAACTTACAAAATATTCAAAAATCCTAAGAGAGGTCCGATTTTGTTTTTTCGCCCATTAAAAAGTACAGAACAGAACAGAAACTTCAAGATCTCAAGTTTAAAAAGACTATTTCTCTAAAGAAGAATTCTGCGACATGTCCTATCTATGTGCCAAAATGCTCTTCTTATAGATGTCAGATATGCTATACCAGAGCATTCGAAGCAAAAGGAGTCTAAAGCACAAAAGGAAAGTGAGTCACTTGATCATTCAACAGAGACAGAGTCTAAGCTGTTTTGTGGGCTTTGTATCTACTAAATGATGACCCTAAACTATGTCCTCAAATTCTGGCTAACTGTAAAAACACATAATTCTACTTTGAAACTGAGAAAAAACTAAGAAAACCATGTTCTCTATATCCAAACTATTAAAATTTGCACAAAGGGAGACATTACATATCAAGGGGAGTACACACAGCCAAGGGAATCGCATCAACTAGGAATCACTAGAAGAGGTTCCCATTGAGCAAGAATAAGGAGAGGTGACAGAGTGCTACTAGCTGGTGAAATTTTCAACGACGTTAAAAACACCAATCATCTACATGAAGTTATATCTCAGATAGGGGCCGAACTTGTTCTGCGAAGCTGATACTTAGGCTCTGGAGGTGGCACGCTTGGTAAAATCTTCTCGATCTCCTGCAGATAAAAACCATACTTGATCAGGTAAAATGTGAAAATAATAGCTGACCATGTGGGAACCCAAGGGAGGCAAGTTTCTTCTGAAAATAGTCAAGAGACAACAAGTCAACTACAAAACAAGAACTACTTTGCTATTTGAAATAATGACAATTACAGTTTGCAATGTCAGCACTTATGATTTCTCCAAAAGCATTTGAAGGGGGGTAAACGCAATCCTAATTAACACAGAAAATAGTGGGATTGGACAAGCGTTAGTCTTACCTACACTTCTGACAAGTTGATTGTAACTAAGTAATGAGTTTTTTAATGACCAAGCATTCCATTGCAAATATCTAAAGCATTTCTTTTTGACATTATATGCATCTGGAAGCCACCTGCCAAACTTTCCACCAGTTACTAAGAATTTGAAAATCACGTCACTGTATGGGATTGGTTCAATTTGCTTAGGAATTCCTATAGTCAAACCAAAAGCATGAATACATTGAGAGACTGAAGGTAAGTCTTTTCTCTTTTTTATGTGGTTGTTTATTTTCTCTTTTGAGAATCCGTAACACAACAATATAAAATGAAGCAATGCAGCCATAAAATGAACTTCACAAGAGTTATTTGTTCGGATGTTCCTCATAAATTTTTTAAAGAAGAAAGTGTTTTCAAGATAAATTTGAAGTGCAGCAAGCTGCAAGAGATGGATAGCTAAGTAAAGATTAAATCTCTCAGTTTCATGTATCATTTTTGTCTAGATGAAATTAAAAGTTCACTTCAGGTCGAAGATGAGGTAAAGCCTAGAACGTCTTCCCTAAAGGACTAGACAAGAGAAGAAGTTAAGTGCGTCTGAAGTTCTTCAGTCCTTCCAACCACGGCTCAGGAGTCGCCAACCTCATCGATTCTTCTCTAAATCAATGGTTCGACATTGACCAATGGAAATATTTACCATATCCTTCTACTTATGTGGCCAACCGAAAGCCAATGCCCTCAACGGGCAAGTGCTAAAATGAATTAGGTTCCTGCTAGCCCTCCCTCCCACAACCTGTCCCCTTGATTTCTCATAAGTCACGTTTTTTCATTGAAACATATACGGAATCAACTTCTAGAGTATGCGATAAATAAAAGAAACTATAAAAAAAGGCACTGAAGCAAGCATTTATGCAGTTGGATTTCTAGGAAAGTAACAATAACTACAAGCTAGAACCATATCCTTACAGTGTAGCTGGATATATAAAGCAGAATTACAAGATCTTATAGCAGCCAATAGAGCTTTCCTACTCAATACTTTCACATAGAAATATCAATCTTATGTGCATCTATGGGTGTTTTTACTTTCTGATTATCCTGACACATTAAATGTATCGTTAAACAGAGAAGTACCTTAAATTCTCATGGAGACCAACAAATAAAATAAATTAAAAACAGAAAAAGGGAATGAGAAACCCATTTTTATTACAGAAAAGAAAAGGATAGTGAAGAAAGTTGAGTACCTTCTAAAGTCTAATGTTTTCAATGGCCTTCTCTCATTTCAAATAGCTAATGGGCAGTTCAATAAAATGACACTAGATTATGAAATTTTGATAAGAGCAATTACATTTACTATAAGATGAGGTAAAGCCTAGAACGTCTTCCCTGAAGGACTAGACAAGAGAAGAAGCTAAGTGCGTCTGAATTTCTTCAGTCCTTAATTCAAACTACGGCTCAGTCGATTTTTCTCTAAATCAATGGTTCGACATTGAACTAGAAATGGAAAAATTTAACATATTCTTCTACTTATGAGGCCAACCGAACGTTGATGCCCTCGACGGGCAAGCGCTAAAATGAATTAAGTTCCTGCTAGCCTCCCTTCCACAACCTGTCTCCTTGATTTCTCATAAGTCATGTTTTTTCATTGAAACATATACGAAATCAACTTCTAGAGTATGCAATAAATAAAAGAAACTATAAAAAAGGGAAATGAAGCAAGAATTTATGCAGTTGGATTGTTAGGAAAGTAACAACAACTGCAATCTAGAACCATATCCTTAAGTGTAGCTGCAAACTAGTCAATACTTTCACATAGAAAGTAGTATGTTTACTTTCTGATTCTCCCGACACATTAAATGTATTGTTATTAAACAAAGAAGTAGCATAAAGCCTCACAGAGACCAACAAAATAAATCAAATTAAAAAAACCCAGCCTCACAGAGACCAACAAAATAAATCAAATTAAAAAAACCCAGCCTCACAGAGACCAACAAAATAAATCAAATTAAAAAAACCCATTTTTATTACAGAAAAGATAAGGATAGTGATGAAAGTTGAGGACCTTCTAAAGACTACTCCTGTTTCCAGTGGCCCTTCTCTCATTTCAAATAGCTAATGGGCAATTCAATAAAATGACACTATACTATGAAATTTAATAAGAGCAATTACATTTACTATAAGTTTGACGAAGATCCTTTTCCACACCTATAAATACTTAACTTTGACGTACTTTTATCACTAGACGACAATCACATGTTAATATAGGCTATGCGGATTTTAAATAGCTAATGGGGCAATTCAATAAATGATTCTGGATTATGAATTTTAATAAGAACAGTTACATTTATTATAAGTTTGACAAAGATCTATTTCACCTAACAATACTTAACTTTGACATACTTTTATCGCAAGACGACAAATCACTTGTTAATAGAAAAGCTATGTCTATTGATTAACCATCTGAAGGGGAAAAAAGGAGAAGGCATGGATTACCAGCTGTTCCTTCTGATCCATAAATAATTCTAAACATTTTGTTTCATTGTGAAGGAAAATATCAGGTCGAATTAAAGGTATAGTCAATGAACTTAGAGAAGTAAGAACTTCACAACATTCAACGAACAATAGACTATATTCAGCGAAAGATTCTTCCACACAAAAAGATTGATTATCACAAATAAAATCGAAATAAAGAGAATCTGTAACTGTGTGAACAAAATGATATTGCACCGACAAAATTTCCTCATATGTTATCTCATGTGTTTAGACTGTGTCTCATTTACTGCACATAGCCACTGCAAAATCATGCTAATGACGTGAAGGATGTGATTAAGACATACCTCGAAGATCACTAGAAGAAATGCAAATGAATACCGAGTTCATGCATGAATTATTTGATTTGCAAATCCTACCTTCTGTCTTTTAAGTCTTTCATTCTCCTCTTCAAGCCATGAAACCTTGTTCTCTAGTTCATGGGTGTAAGCCTGTTAATCAGAAGAGTAAAATTTCACGGGAACAAAGATGAATTATATCCCAAAAAAATGCAAAATAAATCAACGCACCTGCTTCCTCGCTCGCGACCGAGCTGCAGATTCCCTATTTTTTATCATCCTCTTCTGCCTCCTTTCCACACTCTTTTCGATCACATCCTCTGGAGCAACCCGCTTTCTTCCAGACGTTTGTGTGTCTGATAATGTTCCCATTAGATGTGCTGGAGACATTGTCACCTGAGTTTCAGGATCCACAATTGGATTAGCAACAACAGGTAAAGGCTGTTGAACCGGATGGCCCGGCATAAACACTGGTAGAATATTCTGCTGCTGTTGTGCCGGTGCCTGATGCATAGCGGGGATTTGATAATGTGGCCACTGAGCTTGCTGTGTCAATGACATTGAATCAACCCCTATAAGTAAACCCGAAATTCTCGTGCCTTGGGTCGACTCTGCAATGATTCCAGCCTTGACCAAGAAATCCTCCAGAGTTATCTCGCCAAAAGTAAGTTGCCTCTCCTGACTTCTCTTATCAAAACTACTATCCCTTTTCTGCCCCTGCTGAATATCCTGCCATACCTCATCAACAGTCTTCTTGCTGAGATCCCCGGACATTGTAATGCTCGATGACTGTCGATGCAGAGAAATAGACCCGTGCTGCACTGCCCCGTAATCATTTCCCCCCAAGTCTTGACTAGCCTCAATGGTCCATACAGTTTTAAGAAGCTCATCAAGATTCATGCTGTTTAGTGGTTTCCCTAAATTCCCCAATTGATTCTGAACTTCATCAAGAGTGAGGCTGTAGAGTGATCCTTGCCTAGCCAAACCATTCGGCTTTGCTTCTTTTCCACCACCAACTCCCCCCTGAGATCCCATCCCATGAGTTAACATTCACCAGTATATCTATCTATCTATCTATCTGCCCACTCTCACCTGATCAATGAACCAATCCAGAAACCAGTTCCAAAACCCTCTATTCACCACACCAAAAACAAATGATTCACAACTAGCAATCAACCAATCCAGAAATCAATTTCAAACCCCTATATTAATCACACAAAGAACTAAAGCTCTAATCTTGAAATGTACAAAGCCCAATGATTCACAACGAAGGACGTTTTTTTCCACAGAAGAACCCTATGAAGAAGAGATAAAAGGAAAAAATGACTCAAAACCATTTATCGTCCCCATCATGTAATAGCCATGCAACAGAGATTCAGAGGGAGAGATTTGGAAAAGGGCCACATATAACAGAAGGGGAAAACAGAGAAGAAGAAGAAGAAGAAGAAAACAGATCAAGTGCAAGAAAAAGGTAGTGAAAGAACATCATACCAGAAAACTGAGAAGGGGAAGAATCACTGAGAATCCATTAGCTTGCATGCACCAACAAGTGAACAAAAACCCAGAAACCTCAGGAGAGAACAGATACAGTGAGTGAGTACTATAAATTAGAGGTAGACCCAATATCAATTTATATCCAAGACCATTACCAGAGAGGAAATCAAAGAATTAAAGAAATCAAAGTTTATTATTGACTCTTTTTTTTTCTGGCTTTATTTATGAACAGTTTTAGAGGTTCTGTTATACCTGAGAGCTGAGCTGAGCATGCAACCTTTTTTGTCCTCTTTTTGGTTAGACAGAAGGAAAAAATAAACTTGTAAACCAATCAGTGATTACTAGGTTCTGAATCTAGTTGTTAAAAAGTTAATGACATCCTTGTCCTTTCATAAATGCTTAAAACTAAGATTAATTACAAAAAAGAGAATTAAACTAAATAATCCGAAATAATTACATTCATATAATCACAGTTTTATTAGTTTAAAAGTTGAAATTGTTGATTGATTAATGCACATATAAATACAAAATACTATAAAAATAAAATTCAGTATAGTTATCTCAAAAAAGAAAAGAAAAGATTAGAGCACGATTCCCTTATTTAGAAGATTTAAAAAATTTGTCCCATCTGAACAGTCTTACTAAATACTAACAGCAATAATTGGAAGCTAGACCTATTTAAAGAAAATTGCTACATTGATTTGACAGGAGATGCTTAATACCTTTGGTTAGACCCTTTCTTTGAATTTTTCTCTAAGGACAACTCGCCATATTTTAAAGTACATTACCCTCATTTCGAAAAATATGGAGTACTCAAATTGAGTAATAAATAAATAACCACACAATTTCATGAACCTACAACTTTTTGAAAAACTCAATCATGCCTAGAAATTATTCTTTGTCTTGGTAGGTGTTCTAGATATTCCACAAAATATTTGCTTTAAATTGGTGCATAAGAGAAATTCAAATAAACAGTGCAAATTACAGATATAATATTGATATTTCTTTTTATGTATCAGAGAAATCATGAAATAATTCAACCAAAGAGATTTAAAATCGAAGAAGCAACATAAATGTGAAAAATAGGTATGATTTGTTGAACGAAAGAGATAAAAAAAAAAGATCATATTGACTTATTTATCATTTTATTGGAGAAACCAACCAGGACTATGCACAAGGAAAAGAAAGTTAATAATTTATTCCTTTTCTAAAACCTATAAACCTAGGCCTAGGTTACTTTATTCATCTTTTTTTGGGCAATGTAATATTAAATTCATATATATAATATAATCTGAAAAGAATGTGCCTTTTACGGATATTTATTTGGTCAAATCATAAATAGAAAAAAAAGAACATCTTACATTAGTTACCCAAGTAACGCATGCCTTAGTTTTTCTTTAATTTAATTTTTATTATTATCCCAGACGAATAAGATGATCCCGTGTACACAATTAGACGTACGGCACACCTAGTCAAACACAGTACTATAATGTCATATGTCAACTTACAATGCGCGGTTACTCAATTTGCAAGCCAATCAATTCATTTTAAGTGTTCAAATAATGTTGTTCGACTAACTCTTGTTTAGATGAGCCGGAACCAAAATATTACCTTTTTGGACACAAATCACAAAAATAAGTGAAAAAAGCAACTAAAGACCAATTTATATATAACGCATATCTTCATTGCGCTATACCTTAATGACACGTTTGTCCGTTAAGGTATAACACATGGGTTGTATGCGTTATATTTGAATTTTAAATTGGCGGGCAAAATATACATAGAGCGCATATGCATGATGTGCTATACCAGAAGTTGAAAAGACAGGTAGGTATAGGCATCCTATATATGCGCTATACCTATATAAAATATCGGGTCAGTCTTCTTCCCCGACCAGAAAACAGAACCAAAACGGTCCCCCCCAGAACAAAAACGGTCTC